TGTGTGTGTGTTTGTAAAACCTTATACAATAAAAAAGTAGCAGACCAAAGTAGATTTTGAATGTGCTTATCTGGGGACCTTTATAGCCTCCTCTTCTTTACATGCCAATCAGATGCTTTTGTCTCTCACGATGCAAGCTTTACTTCACATGAGCACAGCAAACTATTGCCACCTACAGCGACTGCCTGGCAACGTTGTTGTTCTGTCATTTGAATTAGCAGCAGCTCCCGGATACTTCAGATTATAATGGCATGCACAGCGCAAGCTGTTGATATACTTTATCTGAGACAATGTATGAGGAGGAGACATGGCTCAAAGAATCCTGAATAAAAATCCATGGGACAATCCTGCCCCCCAAAAAGCCAATCAAGCGTCAAATGGGAAACATATTGGCTAATTTTCTTGCTACACTGATACATGCGCAAAGCAGTTCGTTACAGCTGTTTGGTAGCTGGCACATTTCTACATCTTTAAACATGATTACTGTAGTAAAGCTGTAGGTAACTGTAGTGTTCATTAATTTTTATCAGCTTGCTGTATCCTTAAGCATAAGCAGGCTATTTGATCACAGTTGTTGTTTTTGTGGGAAGAGCCGAGACACTTTTAATGTCGGCACTCTGGATTGAGCACTAAATGAAGGTGTAATGTTGTGAAACAGTGCAGTAGGAATATAACTGGTGGAGGGAAAAGACTTTTGGTGGCCAAAATACGCAAAGTTTTAAAGCAGCACACTTTATATTTCACGCGGCAGTGACCACTGAAATAAAAGCTGTCTCCCCATTCTGCTAGATAGGAAGTTTCAAGATCATTGCCAAGTTGCAAAACTTGCTTCTGATATCACATTCACAGGTCTTGATAAAACCCATCAGACTAGCTGATGGGTTCGGAAATCCATCAGCCATCCTGATTTAATTGTAATTTAGCTCCTGGGGTCCAATATTTCAAGACTTCCAGTTTAGGAAATCACATTTCTGCCCTCGGAAGCTAAGTCATTACTGGGTGATGACCAGCAGTTGTTCAATGCAGATATCGTTCCTCTTTCCCTCAGTGACTGCTTACTTCATTCAGCCAGTCCTGCTGCAGTCTTGGTATTATAGCCAGGAAATAAAATGGACTAGAAATGAAAAAACAACAAAAAACACCCCCTTCCCAACTTTAAATGTATTCCGTATAATACAGTTGCCTAAATCCACAAAGACTTGGAAACATCAGAGCCATAAGCAGTAAATGAGCTGATCGCCTTTCTCAATCAGAGCAAGTCCACCGGAGTTCTCAAGATGAATTATTTTTTAAGGTCAGTCATTTATCAGCGTTGCCTTAAAGTTCCCCCATCTGCCAAATTCTTCTTTACCCTTAACAGACAAGTAAGAGTTGTTTTTAACCCTTAATCATTCAAACCCCTGGTAGTAGCTTAAAATTTTTGGGCTGTAAATGATCTCCTGTAATGTTTCTCTTGCTGTGGTTTCTGTGGGTTGGCATGGTTGCAGTGAGCCATGGCAGCCAGTCAGAAATTTCTTTTAAAAACAACTCACTACTCGCTGTCTGAAAGTGTTTAGTTTAGTACGAGCTAGATTTATGTGATACTACAATTTTTGTGGTTTTGCAGGTTCCCAGTGTTTACACAGTGTTTTAATGATAAAAACTGATGGACAAAGATGCACTGTACTTTTCCTCTGGGATCACATAGTAGGAAAAGCAGTCAAGTGGCTAAACTGAGAACCCACACAAACAGAAAAATATTTCAGCTCAAAAGTGTAATTGCTTGTCATTGCAGTTCATTTTAATGATTTTGTCTTTCTGAGATTTTTATTTCCTTTTTCTCCTCTTCTGCTTGATCCAGTAATACCCAATGTTCCTCAGAAACTTTTCTGAAAGAGAGAGAGAGACCGTAATGCATCACACACTGCAAGAATTTCACTTAAATAAGCATTAGAGGGGATAAAATTCTTTATTTTATATTATATTATATTATATTATATTATATTACATTATATTACATTATATTACGTATTTTCACGTAATCCAAGCTTCTACATTTCACTGTGAAATAAATGCATTTTAAACCCCTTACATTTAACAGACCTTAAATATTTCTGTTATTATTTAAAACCACTTGAAAATAAATACATGTAAAACTGAAGTGACAAGTCAATTAATTTATTGACTTGTCATTTGACAGACTTTAAATTGAACTGATCTAATCTAGGTCTCATCTATGAAAAATACAGGTGAACCTCACATTTAAAAATATTGTTTAAATTGAGCATTTTTCATTTTTACTACTTTAAACCATTTATTATCATATTTAAAAACATTAACTTAGGCTGCAGTTTTAGTGCAGGACTTTCACATGTGATGTGTAGTACTTTGACAGTCGTATCATGTAGGATCTGAAAACTTTTTAGCACTAACAGAATGTTTTGTGCACAATATATTACAATTTCTTTTCACAGCTTCACTTCTTTTCATATATCTCTTCTGCTGTTTTCCTTTATCATTTTCAGACGACTAAATGATACTAATTTAGTTTAGTTATACTAATGATGATACTCATCAAAACTGCACAATAACCAACTGTGTTAACTCCCGTGGCTCTAAAGTGAGCTATTAAGTTGTCTAATAACATCACAGGTAATTGCTATCACACTCACTCTCCTGGTTGCTTGTCGTCTCTCCTATCATGTTGCATAGCTCAATTTCTTTGAGTCTGATGCAGAGCTCACAGATATCATCCGCCTCGCTCCATGACGCTACAGTAGGATCTTCTTCTGCCGCACTGAAAACATCCAGAGGCTGGTAATCAGGCACCGGCAAAATGTTTGATGCCTTCCAGGCTGCTGGAGCTTCGAGCTGCTGATCAGCACCATCACTCAAGTTGTTAGCAGAGCAGTCGTTTCTGGAATCGATGGGCAAAGAGTTTTCCTGGTTTGGCGCAGGGTCAAAAAAAGGCCAAGGTTTCTTGTTGTCTGTTTTGTCGTGGATAGAGGGGAAATACTTGACAGCTGCCATTTTGCTCAAAGAGTGCATTGTTATTGTTTAAATTCAAATTGGGAGATATCCATATTAGCTATTCCAGAACAGGAGTTTCCACAACATGGTGCCCGATTGTTGCCTGGTTTGATGAAAAGCACAAACCCAACTGACAACCCAACAATCACTGACCATGTATCCAGAGTACCCTCTGTAGCACAATGTCATCTTTTAAAAAAACACACAGGCTAATATTCTTCTTCAGTTTAAAATAAAGATGGACACTGTAGCTTCTGCATTTGAAAAGGGAAGCTCATATGTGCCTAAAACCTGCATTATTTCTAGTTGCCAGAAGGGGGCACGTCTTTAGGTTTAAAAACAAGTCAGATTTTATAGAGGTCTATGGGAAAGCAACCCTTTGCTCACTGATCTTTGGCCACAGAAGTGGTCTCAGTCACAAGTTACAAAGCTTATTTAAAATAACGTGAGGATCATGTTATAAATGATGGTTTCCATCTGACTTAAAAAGGAGAACAAAGCAGAGCATGCTTTCGTTTGGTGAACTTGTCTCACAAATACATTAAGTGTGCTTATACCACAATTTTACTTTTGCAGACTCACCTTCGCTGGGTGCCACCTGTTCTTCTAATGTATCTGCAGCATCTCAAAGAGATGAGCACCATTGTTCCAGCCAAGTACAGGGCACTTGTGGAATACATTTTCAAGACAGTAATGGGATGCTAATGCAAACACTTGTCATGTCTTGATGACAATTGAAAAAATCCACTTAAAACAAGTGGAAAATATGCTTGTTTGATTACTTACAGAGCTGGGTGAGAAGATTGATGATGTGGTAGCAAATGTAAAGCTCAGTCACTAGCTGATTAGGTTAGCTTGGGTCTTGGCAGTACTTCCTGGAGTTGTATGTTGCCCCTTATTTCTCCCCAGGAAATGTAAATACAGCTTTATATGAGATTTTACAGCTGAACGTTGTAATGACAGCCCCTTTTTTAAATTAGCTATCACACATCGCCTTCATTCTTATGCACTTTTTGTATTGCTTGTTTATATTTATTTTTAAACTAATGGGACTCAGCAACATTTAAAGGATCAATTCTTCTCACAATGTTTGTTCCTCAGCTGTGCGCACGTTTTAATATAACTCGCTCCAAATGTACACAAATTTAGGCGCTTGCACAACTACTTTACTTTTTGTAAATAAAAAGCATTCGAGTTAGTGAGATTTAAAATGCACACGCCATAAAAATGAAGTGTTGAGTAAGGCGTGGATTTGTGTGTGGATGTGCATTTCACGTGAAACGAGTCTGCCTGGCAGGATTTATTACCCCATTGGAACTGAAGGACCCAATCTTGCAAGGCGCAGGGCTTTTGAAACTGCGCTTATTAAACATCGATGGACTGAAGAAAAGCTTTCAGAGGAGAGGGAGGCGCACGGAAGCTGCCGCTGGGAACGCGTAGTAAGACCCTCGCTCTCGCCCTCTCTCTCTTTCTCACTCTCCCTCGCTGCCTCCCTTCCTCCCCTTCAGTTCTGGTTTGAGGAGATCTCTCTTGGAGCTGGAGAGGAGAGTTCGTTCGTCTCTCTCCTCCAGCAGCCGCCGGGCTTCTCTGCAGCCTCTCACCGCTTCACCATGGATCTGGGAACTGAAAGAGTTGCTGGGATTATCGCTCAGGTCGCCCTGCTTCTCTCCTGCGCATACGGGACGACCGGAGAAGGTGAGCCGGCTGTGCGTTTTTTTTTACTTTTCCCGCAGGTAGCGCAGCAAGTGCGGGGAGTCTGCTTAAAACACGACATCATTTATCTGATTAGAGCGATAGAAACACGGGGTCCCTGTTGACCGATATGTTTTTGTTACTTTTTAAATTAACATTCGAGCTTTATAAAGAGCTTTCTTCTTCTTCATCAGCTTTCAGCGCGTCTTCTTTGCCAATCAGAGGAAATTAAAGAAGTAGATTGGTTTTAAAGATATTTTTGCCTTTTTTATTAGAGCAACATTTAAGCCAAACGCTTCTCCTGCTCAAGTCAACTTCTCTAGAAAACATTCCCCTTGCGATTAAGCCTCTTGTATCACATCTTTCCAAAGATTCCTGATTCTCAGACTCCTGAAAACCTTTGTATTTAGGATGCTGCAGCCCAGAAGGTTTCACAGAGCTCAGTGTTTGTCAGTAAAAGGTCTCAGCTGTGTGTTCAAACCTCTGTAGGCTGAAGCCTTTATGATAACCGCTGAATCAAGTTCATCCACTCCATACAGCAAGGTTATGTGTTTGCTTTCTGGTTAATTTTGTGCTTGGCAAAGCATGTTGAGCCTGCCCGGAGTACAAGAGTGTGGGTGAAGCTGTGTGTGTGTGTGTGTGTGTGTGTGTGTGTGTGAGAGAGAGAGAGAGAGAGAGAGAGAGATAGAGGTTGAATGCAGCTTGTACAGTAGATGTGGGCTTGGGACTGAGAGGATGCTGGGTTGCGTCTGAGGTGATGAAATGTCACTTTTCATCACTGAATCATGTCTGAGTTGAGCATTAGTGAGCCTCCAGGTCTCTAGTTATGTGTCATTGTGGGAATGTGAAGCTGGGCGTTGCTGTTTTCTTCCTCTGCCCGAAAGAAGAGGCGAAGAGGAGAGAGATGGACAAAAGGAGCAGAGAGGGAGATGCCATACGCTTGTACATGTTGGAAACAGATGGCAAAATGACTCTCCCGCCCTCCTGTCTTGTTCTCTTTTCTCGCAGCTCAGTGATTTCTTTTCATTTCTTATTTCATAGCTTCGCTACCTTACACTCTTAAAGACGTGATTTGTGTAAAATATTGTTATCTTCCCTTTCTTCTCCATAGAAGAAAGTGCAAGTCCTCCATTTTTCTTTTTCGTGTTCCCTTTTCCTCTCGCGTCCATATTTACAGTCGCTGACCCCCTGAATCCCACAGTCATTAGAAACTCTTGCTGTGCAGCCAAAGATTGCTCACACTCGCAGAGCTTTATTTGAAATTCAAGTGGAGACTTCAAAGTTTCCAAAGACACCACATTTGTCAGGCTGAGTGTTGCGAGCATGTCCGGGTTAAAGTGATGCACTAGACATCCTGAATATTTCCACTTGATAGAAGGGCGCAGTCATGAAAATACATGAAGTGTTGTGCTTATTAATGCATTTGGATGTTTGAGCTTCACTGTGCAGAATGATATATGGGCACTTTGACACCAGAAGGCTGGATTCACTTTTCATCCGCTGAAGGGGGGAAGGGGGGGGGGCTCTCTCAGCTCATCTTATATCTCAGTTTAAATGGAAACCTATTATGATTTTCATATTTTGCTGTCATTACTTTGCTGTTACAGTGGTGGATATTCATTTTTTTAATAGAGTTTCAAATAATAAAGTCAGAGCACAGGTTCAGTCTTTTTCTATTTGTTACAATGTGTGCTGTTTTAGAGAGCTGATATCATATATATGGTCTCATACACGCAGCCACCTGCTCAAACCTTCTGTTTACAAGGAGCAGCTAGTCCTCATCTTCTCCCCGTTAAGTGAATTTTCTTTGCTTAAGGGAAGGAGAGAGGCTGGACTGTGATGGGCTGCACTGAGATCCTCGTATAGGATATATGAGTGAGCCACTTAGACAAGTGCAAAGTGAAATAATGAAACATCTCATCTGCTGAAATTGATATTTGCATATTTGTAGGTTTAGGATTTCTGAGACACAGTAGTAGAAACAGTTCTGTGAAACTTATTTGTCTATATGATTCGAAACATCATTGAGTGGAAATACCAAATTAAACATAAAAGCAAAGAGAGAATCCTAATGTTTCACCCTTTGTAGACTACCAGGAGCAACGAGGCGCATAAAAAGTCTCTTTCAGTTTGTGTGTGATTTTGTTGTCTAACAGTAATGAGGTAAGGAAAGAGACACATTGCTACGTCTGCAGACAGATGATGGATAAATGGTGTTGTGGAACGAGTGTAGACAAAGCCGTGTGTAAGCAGTTAGAGTCGATGGCTTTGTAGTTTCCATCCTTCCTCCTTGAATAAAACATCTAGAGCTTCACCAAAATATCAGGCTCTCTCTCTTTTTCCACCTGCTGTGTTTCCTCCTCGCTTTCCTGCTGCTTCTCACTCAGATGTGGTGCGAACTCTCCATCCGTTCCTCCTCGTCCGACTTGTCTCTCTGCCTGTTGCGTTTTTCTTTTAGCCTTCCTTTTGTTTCCTGCCAGTGTCTCTCCACTCCCTTTGTCCTACTGAAGAGATGCGTCTCTATTTGTTTTCCTTTCGAGTGTCTTTCTCTTTGTCCTCCTCTACCCAAATCTCTTCTCTACACCCGGATCAAAGAGGATGTCTCACTGCGCCATCACTGTTCTTCCAATTCATGCCTCCGCATTTCTTCATCTTTCTCGCTCTGCATGTGTCCTCCCTGCTCACTGAGTCCTTCCACGTGAAGCTGAAAACAGTTTATTAATACTTTATGACCCAAAATCTTTTTTTTCCTGAGAGACCTTGCTTCCCTTATATATGTGTTTCTGCACATTTTCCAGCTCAGCTTGAAGGTGTGTGGAGCTGTATGTGGAGTCGCCTGCCATCGGTATTACAGGAATAACAGACAAGCCATTTGTGCCACCTTTGCACGTGCAACAAAGCTAACAGGGAAATCCAGAAGATTTGCAGTCTAAGACGTAATATGTGCAATTGTAATCCTGAGACAAAGATAGTAGAAGTGAAAAAGTCTGTTTTGGTGCGCTGCGTATCTGTAAATGCTGTTGGCAATGCTTATCTGAGGGTTTATTAGCAACAGAGCGGTCGGCCTCCCAAAACAATCCCACATTTGAATAAGATGTCTCTATTTGTAGTTGTTGTTGGTTGAAACAACTCAAACGCTTAATTTGTGATGTGGCTGCAAAACACCCCTTATAACGGAGCTCTGATTGAAAAAGCAAATCTTTCAAATGTTGCTTTTCTTTTCTCACAACAAAACAACAATAAGGAACTATTTTATCAAACAAATCTGGCAAAACTTGTGATGGCAGCTTGATTTTCTAGTCAGAACGAGACCACCACACATTTGCAGTTTACTTGTACGAGAAGCACAAGTGACGCATGAACAGTGGAAGGTGTCAACATGTTATTCAGCTCTGCCCTCGTTGCTTTAACACTTTTTGAGAAGCTTTTAGCTTTTGCACTTAAAATAACGTAACATATTGTCATCAAAAGAATGAACAAACAGCAATGCAGCTGCGTCTTGTCAGCTCCACATGTACGCATTTGTGGAGGTGCACCCACAGTAAACGCTGGGAAAGTAGAAATTAGCATCATTGTAAATGACAGCGTGCAGGAGCTATTACTGCATATTGCATACATGTTACAATTAGAATGTAAAGAATCACTGGCAGTAATGATAATTAACTGTGAAAGAAAAACATTATCCATCTCTGTCAGGAAGAGCACCCAGCGTAAAAAATCTGCCAGATGAAAATGCGGCGCTACCCTCTGTGACAAGGGAGCAGCCAACAGTAGCTTTTTATTTTTTGTCAAAGCTGTGGTGATCACCACTGGAGACTGACAAAGAGCTGCGTGAGGCTCAGAGCCACAGGTTCAAAACCCGTAGTTTGAACATTTCTCTTCATGTTTGACCAAGAGTGAAATTTACTCCCTAGAACAGCTGCTTAGCTAACTGCATTATGGATCTCCATCTCGGGATTTGTTCGTTTGCCTTGAATTAGCTTTTAAAGTGAGTCTCACATGTTCAGTGACAGGAAAAATCAGTGATTTATGGAAGCTTTTAAATGATAAGGCTGTTTACTAACACATACTTAAAGCTTAGAAAATGCAAAGAAGTCGTGCCATGGCAGTATTGCATGAATATTTAAAAAATAACTGCGACTCTTACAGTCAGTGTTTCTGTCGATCTCTCTCAGCTTTCTTTATTTTTTGCTTTGTGGTTCTTTTCCTTGGCTAGGCTCTTTCTCTCTCTCTCTCTCTCTCTGTATCTGTCTCTGCCTGTGATTATCTCGCTCAGCGTGACCCAGCAGCACACTCATCATGCACGGACCATAAACCACAGCAGCATAATAAGTTAAGACTGCAGAGATGGAGGGATCCCAGCTGCAAGTTCTTAGCCTGAGCCTCACATCTCAATTCTCCACGGAGACAGTTCACTGTTCATTATGGAGGTGGCACTAAATGACAACAAAGTAGAGATACATATTTTAACAACCGACGGCGCTCGGATGACTTGTTAGCCGAAGCAGCGAGCTGCTTTGCCACTGGAGTTGAGCTGATGAGATTCAGGGAAGTCGGTGTGCGAAGCAGCTACCCGCAGCTACCCGCAGGGCCGTAAAGCCAGTGTGCATTTAATCGCCTTCCAATATGAAAACATAAGAGAGTCAATGCATGTTCAGCAGCTGCTATATGACGAAAATAAAAACTAAAATATCCCCTTTAAGCTCCAAAAACAGTGAGTAACTGTTTATCGGCTGGAGCCTCGAGCCTCAGGTCAGTTTTAGGTGTCAGAATGAGGTAATGAGAATAAAACCCTGCAGGTTTTAAACAAACTGTTAGCAAATCTTGATGTTTGCTTTTTTCTAAATGCAGGAGTACAAATGGAATTGAAAATTAGAATTTAGAAACATAGAATCTGTAGAATTTGTCAGCTGCCATTGGTGCTTGAGTTGGGTTAACAATGTGCTGTCAGTGCACCACTGTTCCTGTTTGAAACATGTTTTTGCTCCATTTTGTTGAACACA